TAGCCCATTGGATGCCAATATGTCCCGTTCCTCCTGCAGAAGCTGTAATCAACACTTTATCTCCTTTTTGAATGCGACCCAACTTTTTGTTAATTATTATAAATTAGTAACATTTCAAATAATTTTATAGTAATTAATACCTCATCCAATCCAATAGTTGCTGTTAAACCCGCGATTAATAATCCAAGAAATTCTGGTTTAAGACTCGGAATTGGTATCACTTCTTCTGGGTTTACATACTATTCATTCATAAATAATTCATAAATAAAAATTAAATTTAAATTTAATATATTAAATAAAAATATAAATTATTTGTAAGTCTCATAATTACTAACCAAATATTCTGAATAAGCCCTGGGAGGATTGACACCAAATGTAATGACATTCTGTCCTACTTTATGGGTGGTTACATTCTTGCCAACTGCTTCGATAACACCCAGACCCTTTTACAATAATTATATGAAATTATAATTGTCAATAAAAACAATATACTGATTGAATGGACACATACTTCTAGTCCCACATCGAAAGGCAACTCTGCGTTTGGGTTATATCTGGCAGCAGTTATGTTGACATCAGTGGCGTTAACACCGGCGTAGATATTCTTGATGAGCACCTGATCATCACCCGGTGCTACCAGAGGGACAGACACCACTTTTACAGCTTCTCGAAAATTGGATGTCTTCTTAATCACAGATAACTTTTTAAATGTTTTAGACATTTTGATATTTTATGTTAACAACAATAATAATTAAAAGTAAATGTCCAAATATTATACAGTGCTGTTTATATAGTTTCAAACCGTTATAGAGTTGTGATATAAATTAGCACTTAGAAAGTACTTACTGTCCTTCAACTCTAATTTCATCGCATATATACAGTACAGTGAATGGATCTACAATAGGTTCTTGATAACTTTTGTACTCTTCACACTTGTAACCTGTAATTTGTACTCATTCTATATTTTGCACTAAAATAGTTCATTAAACAAATATTTGTTTATTTAAAGTTCAATTGCATTATGATACATAGTTATGAATTATTGAAATAAATTTATTTATTAAATAAGATTGTCTAGACATTAAATGATATACATTAATATACATATAATCTTATATCTTAAGAAATTCCTTTAAATTTTGTTTATTAATTTTGTTTCAGTGTACTATATTTATTTTACTATTTTTAGAAACTAATTTATTAAAAATTTTAGTAATAAAAAATTCCACTATTAAATGTTTGTATTGTATTTTAATGATAACTTTTCCAACATTACGACCAGGTTGCAAATGCTAGACAAGAATAAAAGAAATTAACATTATTTTACAATAAAATTTATTAATGCAGATTACATTTGACAACAATTTTGTATTAATTTACATTTACCTCAACCCCTCTGACCACTGAATCTATTCCTACGAATTCTCCTTCACTTGTGTTTTGTCCCAAATCTAACACAACTCGCAATCTATTGCTCTCAATGTCTTCAATCAGTTTCGATCAATACTTGTCGTATAAGTCTTTGTTAGCAAGTATTGAAAACCCGTTCAAAGGTCCACTTCTTATTAGGAGCTATCATCAGATATAAAATAATTTGTAACCTTTTAGCAAACAATTTGAACTAGCATCAAAATAAAATGGTATTTATAAATCGTACTCGTGTTGGGAGTTTAGGTTGTGAAACATCAGTACAACTAATTTTTATTTAAAACATTTTTATAGCCACTAATAGCGCCCACTAATTATAGCCAAATGATTGAATAAAGTATCCGCCGATTGTCTCTCAATATTACATCCAGTATTCATTTAATAAAATAATATTTTATAATAAATTGTATTTTATATTGTATTATAATATTTAAAAAATATTTTTATTAAATGAAAATTAAACCGGAGACTCATTACTGAACACTTGATCCAAGTTATAATTGATCACTCGATCGGTTCCCAACTGTCAATAGTTTTGCTTTTTCTGGTGTTGAGGTGAACCCAATAACATACGCCCCTCTGCTTAAACAACTGAACACTATATATCCCAAACGACGGACCGATTCTATATTTATTATAAGGCGGCGTGCACAAAGTACGTACGCAAAATTTTGTTCAAAAATTGACCCCCCTCCCCCCTACACGCCCATCGTACATAGGAATTTAACATGGTGACATACG